ATCATAATAATTAGTCAGAAAACAGCAACAGGCCTAAGAAAAATATGCAAAAGAGGCAATAAGTGGTATGGACGCACTTAGAAATCTAGGAGTATGATCCTAATTGAGTCTGTTCCCAACAGTGATTTCTTGGGGCAGGTTGTGGGAAGGCATGATGTGGTTTTAAAGGCCACAGTCATATATTTACATATATATATATATATAACTATACCTGCCGTAACTGTACCAAACCCCTTGGGATCTATTTATATACTTCTACAAACTCTTCAAAGAATGTTTCATAAATTTATCCTCCACCGTATGAAGAAGTGATTCTTCCTTTGCTTGTCTCAAAATTACCATACCCCTCCTTTCAAATAGTTAACTCCTTTTCAGAGTGTAAAGAAGTAGCAAATTCAGTTAATTTTATTTATACCACTCATGATCTTTAGAATTTCACTTCTGAGCTTTATTTTGTATTTTGCCCAGACTCTTAATTAATTCGTTGTGTCTTCACATGACAATTTTCCTGAACCTTTTTTCCTTTTGCATTAGGTATTTCTTAAGGGATGAGATCCGAGATAGGATACTGTTCAAGGTCTAGTAATTACACCAGTTTCAATACTATGTTTCTTTTTGTTTACAATGGCTTTTTGTGACAACGTCCAGGGTTCTGTTAGCCTTTCTGGTTGCAGAAGAGTCCTTCATTACATATACAATCCGGGTTTTTTAAAAAAATTTTTTATTGTGTAATTAAGGGATGCATACTTAATTAGTGACACAGCAAGTCTTCTCACACCTAACCAAAATAGCTCTTCTTCCTGTAATTGTCATCTCAATTGGTGGCACTGTGGTCTACCAGTCACCCAGCTGGAAACCTATCCTTTATTCTAGACTGCCCTCCCTCACTCCCAACTTTTATGTCCTTCCAATTTTATTTTCTAGATATATTTCACCCATCCCTTCCACTCCCATGCCCTCAGGTGTCATCTGGCTAACCTCTGGTAGTTCTTTTATAGAGTCAGTTTCAGCGCCATCTCCTCTGAGTTAGGTGTCCTCTGTGGGTCCTTATTCTGCCCCTGCCTGGTCCTATTGTTTGTCCTTCTGTGATGCTCTTCCTCACCGCCTGTGGACTCCTTGAAGAAAGGAACAGGGTGAATTTTATTCACTGTTTTATCCTCAGCCCCTGATTTAGTGCCTGGCATATATAAGGTCTTGAATAAATGCTTGTAGCCTGGATGGATGAATGAACAAATGAAACTTTCCTTCAGCTCCCTCCAATACCTTTTTTCTATACCATACGGAGACAAAATAATGATCCAATTACCCAGGGGTAGTTATATTGAATATATAATCACTTAGCTTCAAAGCACTTCATGAAATCCTAGTGCTTAATCGTTTTTGTTTATGTTTTAGTAATTTTTGGCTTTGTGTGTGTGTGCATATGTATGTATATGTGTTTTAAGAAGGGATAATAATTTGCAAAAATTTGCCGTTAAATGTGACTTCACTTTGTTTTTAATATCTCAGTAATTAAGAGCATCGACTTTGTTGTCTATCAAACCTGGGTTCAAATTCTAGTTTCCCACTTGGGCCATTCTCAACCACTCTGCTGCTGAGTTAGTCTCACTTTGAAGCAGTTGTAATATGAACCATATGCAGTTGTTTTATGTGTGTTTGTATATACAGTCATGCGTCACTTAATGACAGGGATGAGTTCTGAGAAATGCATCATTAGGTGATTTCATCGTTGTGCAAACATAGTAGAGTGTCCTTACACAAACCTAGGTGGTATAGCCTACTACACACCTAGGCTATATGTACTAAGCACTGTTGTATATGTGGTCCGTCATTGACCAAAATGTCTTTATGTGGCACATGAATGTATAGCGAATGCTAGGTAAGATACACTAGAGAGACATAACTTGAGCTAAGAAGTCAAGGAAGGACTCTGAGGATATGACATGTAGCTGTCCCTATTGATGCTTTGCCCCATATCGCTTCTGCCTCCCTGAGTTCACTTGAACCTGTGGGAGACAGTTTCTAACATGCTAGCAACTCCCAGCTCAGGTGCTGTGTCTCTTCTTTCTGCCTGAGGGTGCAAACAAGGGTAATCCAGGGGAGAGGGGGAGTTAACTGACCCCAGGAGCATCCTTTGATCAACAGGAGATAGGAGTTGATGGACAAATGTCCTAACCTCCTGACTTCCAATGAAATGATTCTGAGGCATGTTTTCCGTACTGTTTCTGGAGGAACGTCCAAGAGGTGACCTGGCTATGGTGGTGACACACCCAATAATGCCCTCTTACTGATTTTTCTCTTTTCTTTGTCTACTGTTCCCACTTCCTTTAGCAAATGCTTCCTAAGATCACCTTCCAAACAGACTAACTGCTCCTAAGTCCTTCTGTCAGCATTGGTGTTTGGGGTACCAAACAAACTAAGCCGAGACTTAAAGAATGTGGAAGGCATGACCGACCAAGGTTGAGAGACTATTACAGTCAGAAGAGATATCATGTAGAAGTATCAAAGCCAAGGGTTAAGGCTAGCAGATTCAAGGATCTAAAATATGTTCTAGAAGACTGGCTGGAGCAGAGAATGTGAAGGGAAAATTGTGAGGTAGCAGGGGCCAGATAGTGGTGGGCCTTAGAACTCATTTTCACCATTTTGGCGTTATTCCAGGGACAATCAGATTCTGGATTGAATGATTTGAAGTGGGAGAGTGATACGCTAGGTATTATGGAGAATGAATTCTAGTGGAAATAGAGCCAAGACGCCTATGAGGAAGTTACTGAGATAATAGTGACCTACACTTGGGGAAGGGTGTCAGTAGTACCTGGAGAGAAATGGGTGGATTTTACAGCTGTTGAGAAGATAGCACTTTCTAAATTGGTGCTGCTACTCCTTATCAGTGTGAAGCAGGTCATGGTGATAACTAAGGTAAACTGGTCATTTAAACAGGGAAGCATTTCAAATGTTGATGTTGCTCTTCAAGATGATATATTAGCAAGTTTTCTTTGAGAACTTTACTTCTCAAAAAAAGTCTTTAATTTATGTATTTGTGTATCTCAATCTTATTCTAAAAATATTTAAATATTTGTGGTGGCTGAGAAACCGATGTCATATTCCTCTGGTTCATCTTTGGTAGTAATTGTTAGAGTTTGTTAGTGATACATGTTTAAACCCAACTCCTATTCTGGAAGTGAGAATGCCAAAGGGCTGTAAATCTTACCAATTTTCTCATGAGCGTGGAAATGAATTAGAATGATGGGGAACGATATACTACAGGAAGTGCCTTTATAAAATTATTTCTGGCGTCCTTGAAATATATGATTGTGCCATTGAAGCTTTTATTTTAGGGTTATTAGTAGCCACTCATTTCAGTTAGTGCAGTGAAAATGGGTTCTGTTTTTCTCATTAGTCAGCATGAAATAAAAATGATGATAAACCCTTTCTGAAGAAGCAGCTTTCATTAAAAAGGAAAGAAAACCTAATTGAAAGTCACTGTAAATTTTGAAAGATTAATTTCATGCCAAATAAGTCATTAGAAATCTCCGATGGATATAAGAAAGCAATCGCTTGCAAAATTGGAAAGAGCTATATTCAATCTAAATATACTTCTCTATTTTTTTAATTTGTATTGGGAGATATGTAATACAAATTCATTGAATTTTAACAGAATAGCCTTTTACTATAGGTAGTCTGTACGTGCTGTTGGGCTGCAAACCAGTTAATTAGTTTCCCTCTGGATCCTTTTATTTCAGTTGATCATCTTTGTTATAACTCACTGTTTTTCTTCTTTCTTGACTAATAATAATATAAATGGTTCATGTCATTTCAAACATACAAAAAAATCTAGAGTTTTTTTGTTTCCTTGTTTTGCTTTGTTGAATTGTGTTTTGTTTTTGTTATTTTACTATTTTATATTGATAGTATATATAATACTATGTAATATATACTAGTAAGTAACTAAATATATCTATGTGTGTATGTATTTACTTATTTATATATAAACCCAAAGCTTCAGGACTCTTTTTAGAAAAAAGAGAGACCAAATTTATGAACTTTCTTCCTAAGTCTCCAATTTTCCTCTATACAAAGGAACCAGCATTTTTTTTCTTTGACTCTGTGCTTTTTTTTTCTTTTTTAAGCAATTCAGGAGATTGCAATTGTTTTTGAGGAAAATTGGCCCTGTGCTAACATCTGTTGCCAATCTTCTTCTTTTTCTTTTTTCTCCCCAAAGCCCCAGTACATAGTTCTGTATCATAGTTGTAGAGTTGTAGCCCTTCTGTATGGGACGCTGCCTCAGCATGGCTTGATGAGCAGTGTGTATGTCCGTGCCCAGGATCCAAACCAGAGAACCCTGGGCTGCCGAAGTGGAACGTGCTATGCCCCTGGGCCAGCCCTCGACTCTGTGCTTTTAAAAGTGGACATAATATTTTGAATCTGGAGAGCTCATTGCAACTAAAAAATAAAAATATCTGTAAGTCTAGATCTGTAGGTGCAAGATATCTTGTTCCATGAAACCGCGTTTCAATACAGGATTTACAGAAGACAAATTGAATATATAATTGTGTAGAATAAAATCTTTTGATTTTTTTATTCAGTGAAACTTGACAGGTAACATGCTCTACTGTTTTGGAGAAGGCTAATCAAACTAAAAAGAACCCACAAATAAATTGCCATCATGATGACAGAACTGATTTGCTGTAGATGACTAAGAGATAATGGTGATGTTAGAGAAAATATCCTGATTCAGAGTTGAAACTTCCAAATTCCCTTTGGAAGCAAAGAACAGACCAAGAGACCATAAAAGCCCAACTTTACTCTTTTCACATACTTCAAACATTTAATTACCAGAAAAAATATCCTTTATTACCATCTAGGATCAGGTTTTAAAAGTCAATTACAATAATAGTGGTGCAAAGTAGAAGCATCATTTTTTTTTAAGTGGAGGGCTCTTCATTTTACATTTGCTGTTATGCACATTATTGATTTTCTTTTCTGGTTGTGGTTCCTTGCAGAGAGTGAATCTGTCCTTCGATTTTCCATTTTATGGCCATTACCTACGTGAAATCACTGTGGCAACTGGGGGTAAGTGGTTTTCTACCCGTTCACCCTAAATAAGCTACAGTTTCACTACAGTTATTAGTTTTAATTTACTCCATATTTCAAGAGGGACATTTGTTGGGAAAACCATTGTATTCTATCGTGAAGTCATGGGTATAAATAAAACCTAGGAAAAAATATAGTTATTGGAAAAACTTTCTGCAGAAAAAAGTGTGGTTATAATAATTTTTAGTTTAGATTCACCTCTGCTTCCCTTTTAAGTTTTAATTCCTTTTTGGTAGTATGGTAAGACTGCATGAATGGGAATAAAGCTAGAAAGAAGATGTGCTTGAGCAAACTGTTGAAGTATTTTTAATGTATATAGTTGATAGGTACAAACACATATACACACACATACGCAATCATATGTATATTAGCTTTAATGATTTGTTTGTTCCTTTAATGCCACCTATGTTGATTGGAAACTCATTTGAAATTTTTAAAAATAAACGTTGAAATTCAGTTTGAATTCTTTTACTTTTATTTTTCTCCACAAACTTTGGAGGTTAGTTTAGAAGTTAGCAATACTCTAAAAGGCAATTATTTTTATAGTATATCCCAGAAGTCAGAAATATTTTAATTCTTGAGTGCTATTGGCAGAGAGAAGAAAAATGCCAGACAATACCCCTGTAGGCTTAACCTGGAGGAGTAGAGAAAGTAGAAGAATGACAGAAGAACTAAAAATAGAAGAGTAAGTAAAGAAGCACGTTAAAAGAAATCCATAAATGTTATGAATAGGCTGCAGAGCAGCCGTGCCCAAAGCCCAAAGCACCATAGACCAGAGTCGCTTTCCTTCACTGGGTCTTGTTTTTGGTCTTCTGAATGGTATGGAAACCATGTTGATCACTCTTGCCATATTTTAATGTGAGATTTATAAGATATGTAGGATTCAGAAAAAGATTTTTCATCAGAGATATCAAGAAACAAATTAAAATTTTTTGAGCACCTACCCTGAGCAATGGTAAATGAAGCTACCTCTGCCTTAGGAATGTACAGCCTAGTGGACTACTAGATGAGGTGAAGCAGAATGTAGGAAGTTCTTTAGAAAATACCATTGATGAACTAGGAGTTTCCAGGGAGGATAAGGCTCAAACATCTGTGAGAATCTTTTAAGACTTTATAGAGAAATTAGTGTTTAAGGTATGTTTTTGAAGGGTATCACAATTTCTATGGTTGTATAGGGAAGGAAGAGTAGGTCACAGGAAAGAATATCTTGAGTAAATATACAGAAGAGGAAATGGTGGCATATATTTAGGATAGTAAATAATTGAGTTTGAGTGAAGCTGGGGGTAGGTTTACAAGAAAATATGGCGTATTAAGATGAGAAGAGTAGATTGGGACAATTTAATATACTGCCTCAAGAGTCAATTTGAGTCATTAGTCTTTAGTTAGGTAAGCAATAAACTTTAAGAAGCTGAATCTACACATTTGTGTAATACCCTAAAGTATAAAAAGACAGGAGTTAGTATATATAATTGGATGAATATTGCAGTAGTTTGTGTGACAAATGGTGAGGTCCTTGGTAATTCTGTGGCTTCAAACCAAGGGAGAGAAATGATGCTATTAGCTGAAATTACAAACTCAAGCAGATGAGCTGGTTTCAGGGAAAACCAATGGCTTCAGTTCTGAAACTATTAAATTTTGTGTAAAAAAAAGAACTATCTATAAGCAAAATTCACACAAGGACTGTCTTTTTGAGCTCACCATGTATTTCTGTGCTAGTATAGTGCAAGGCATTTAATTAATGTGTTGAAGAATTGAATGAAAAAGAGAAAGGTAAAATTGAAGGATTGCCTCTATATGCCATGAATTACGTCATGTCCACTCACATCATTAAAGTATGATATAAACACGGTTATCTTATAATATGGACATTAGGTGTGTTTTCTGACATTTTTGTTACCAGTGTTTCACTGAATTTTAAAAAGTGAATTGTTAATCACATTTATGGTAGAAATATGGGCAGCTTTGCATTTTCAGTTTCTCAAATTGTTTTATCTTTAAAAGCCATGTTAATGATTCAGCTAATATGAAGTAAGATTTCCTTTAGTTGAGTTGGTAGGAAAAAACCCAAACAGGTGGCTATATCATCTTTACTGCTTTAAAGTACCATTTTCCTTTGAAAAGATCCTCAAAATAAGTGAAAAATCTGGTGTCTTGAATGATCTCTGTCTTCTTTGAAGAAAACACAAGTGTAAAGAAACTTTTTTTTTCTCTACTTAAAATATGCTAGTATGGAACTTGCATATATAAATCCATACACTGTTTAGAGAGTCACAGCCAAGATAATTTAAACATTCACCTGAGTTTCTTCAAAATGAAACCAGAATCTCCTGTAAAATTTTTCAACTAAATAAATAGTTTATTTGCACCTTCATTGTTTATGTATTCAATCAATATTGATTGAGCCCCTACTATGTGCAAGGCACAGTACATGATACTTTGGTGTATACAGAGAAGAAGAAGCTATGGTTCCTGTTCAGGAGCTTAGAATCTAAGAAGAGGAAGGAGTCTATGACTAAGCAATAAGAGAAGGCTGACTGTAAGTGCTAGAGGAGCAGAAGGTTGCTCCAAGAGGAGGTCATTCTTCTTGGGCCAATCAAGAACAGGTTTGTCAAAGAGCTAACATTTGACGTTAGCCTAAAAAGAAGGTGAAATTTTAGTAGGCAAAGAGGCAGGTTGAAAAGAGGTGAAGAGAGAGGGGACATTCCAGACAACAGAATGCTGAGCTAAGGGACAGAGCTGAGCCCACATTGAGCATATTTGGAGGGTTGTCAAGTAAATCTGTTTATCTTGAGTAGAGAGTTAGAGTCTAGTGAAGGGGAGGTGGGAAAAGCAATGTGAAATACTTTGAACGTTAGACATTTGGGTGATGTCCAGCAAGCACTGGGTTTCTCTGAGTAAAGGATAGATCCAGCCTGATCTGGCAGTGGAGGGCAGGGTAAGGTGAGGGGGTGAAGGCAAAGAAGGCAATTAGCGGCAGGTTTTTCATTGCTTCTGCATGAATTATAGTGCCTGAACTAGGACGGGTGCAGTCGAGAAGGAGAGAAGGAACCAGTGCAAGACACAATATTTGAGTTGTTTAATCATTGCGGTTGCAAAGGCTTCCAGCCAAAAGGATCCATTGGATGCAGTGAATAAAGCTAAGAATGGCTTAAAAGAGGACTTCTGAACCACAGACTGTTGATGATTTCTGTGATTAACTAGGTATTATAAGCAGATGGACCTACTTGACAAATGCTCATCACCTTACAAATCTTTAGAAAGTTATTAACCGTGAAAGGCTTGGAAGAAAAGTAGAAACCACAAGTCAGGTTAAATAAAGTTGACTACAGGCCATTCCAAATAGATCAGGGACTGGGATTTTAAGTAGGAACACATAGGTTTCTATGAAACTGAAATGAATAGAGATATTCTGTTAACTGTCAATTCTCTTTGACTATGTCTACCAATTCCTCTTGAACTTATTTCTACACAGGATTTGGCAAAACAAAGTGAAATGTTAAAGTGGATATTTTAAACCACAATCCCCTTCATTCCTACCTCACTTTTCCTGTTTCCCATGCATCTTTAAAATCCCTCTCTCTCTCCCTCTCTCTTCACAGACACACAAATATTTAGGACTGAAATGAACTTAAAGATAATGTCTTGCGTTACTGCTAGAATCAACACCATTTCAAAACAGAAAGTAGTTTAAAAATGCAGGTACATACATAATTTCCTGTGACCCATCCTTGTGTGTGTGTATTTGTATATATGTTTCATTATGAATAAACTTGAGTTTCTAGTTAAAAATGTAAATCAAAACTAAATATCTAGTCATTTATTTATAAACTACAAAAATGAATCTTCACTTATTAAGCATTTTAATTTTCAAAAGCTTCAATCATCCATACAAATCATGCACAAAATGAATTGGAAATACCATCATATTTTCTGGTTCACTGGTAGCAGAATCTGAAAGCATTCATTTATCTTTCTATTTAAAAAATACTTCAGAATACAAATATTTCAGGCATTAAAAAACTAGTCCTCTGTGCATTTCATAAAAATATTTCCACTAATGGCACCACTAAGTTGTGTTGTTTGAGTATCACACTGGCATTTATTTTCTCTATATATGAATACTTTAGTTGATTCTTTTTTATTATTAGGCTGCCAAGGTGATTTTTTTTTAACATTTCAAAAAGTAGATTTAAGTTTGAAGGTTTGATTTTTAATTTATGCAGCCATCACTAGTAGTGATATTTTTTCATGAGTCTGTCATGGGTACACATAACTATGAAAAGAGAAGGAGGTGGGATAAGTGCTGCTTCATATAATGGAGAAGAGAAGAGTTGAGGTTATCCAGATAATTCTGGCCCCAAAATTTAAGTATGTAGACAGATGCTGATTCATGATTAAAATAATGTGTGGATTTGCAGGCAGTTGTACATAAGATTAGGACTCGAAGATGACATGAATTAAAAAGATAATGATGAACATGTGTTGTTTACCTTGATCATATAAAGGATTTGCCTTCCCTTCCTTTCTACATGAGTTTCTAGTTAGAGATTTAATAAGAAAACTGTTTAGATTTTTTTTTTCAGGGTATGAGAACAGTTTTATTGGGAAACCTACTTCATACACATCTCTTTTTTCTTTTTCCAGTTTTATTGATATAATTGACATACAGCACTGTATAAGTTTAAAGTGTTGAATTTTAGATCTATTTTATTTCGTTTGCCACATGGTAAGTAATAAAATCTAAAATATCCATTAAGTAATTAATGTTTAATATCTCAAAAATTAATACATGACATTAAAAATAGTCAAACAAGCAAAATTAAAATGTAAATCTCCCTTCTTCTCCTGCCTCCGAGTCCACCCGTTCCCTTCCCAAGAAAAAAGAGCTGTTACTCTTTACACTGGTATATATTAAATTCAAATTTAGACTAATTTCCTATATATCATCAATAATCATTTGTTTTTTTTCCTCTTTAAAT